TAGAAACACTTCTATATTACGGAAACCTCTTTATTACGGGCATCTATGCAGATCACGGTGTCTCTATATTGCGGACACTTTCCTAGGTCCTTCCATGTGCTTGAGGTAAAGTATCCACTACACTTTTGATTTTCAGATGTCACTCAAAACATAACAATACCCGCGATTTATGCAAATTTAAGAAGTTGTAGGATGATGATGTAGATCCTGTTACGAAAATGTTTGATTATCTCAGATATGTATTACCGGCACAATATTACCAAAAAACATCTACCAGTTTATTGGAGAAGCCTTCCTTATCGATTTAAAATACACAATTTCCCAACCATTTCTAAAAATGTCAATAAATAGATATAAATAGCCGGTAAATATAAGTGTGTAAATCTATATTTATAGCTTTACTAGAATTTTCCAATTCAAAAACAATCCGCTGGAGAAATTATGTTCCGTACTTGGTCATTTCCTGTCCTAAAATATTCAAATTAGATAGCAGTTTATTCCATTTTATACGAACGAGTGTTCTTCTCCATTGTGAAAACGCGTAGAAATTAAAAAAAAAACAAAAAAACAACAAAGATATATCACAGAAGATTGTAGGAGTTTTTGAATAAGACTCGACAAACTGTGCATCAATTGAATACCGAGGTGTGAGATTTAGAATACAACAAATGGTGAATTTTAAAAATGATTTGAACAGATTGAAGATGTCCTTAAAATAACCAATCCATTTAGACGTGTTTGAAGTAACAAATCAGAGAAATCCATATTCGATTTCCTGAAAAAGAAAAATATTTGGAATTTGACCAAATAACTTTTTTCTAGATTTTGTAAAATTCAGTTAAAGCGCTTAGCTAATTTTCCGCAATGCAAATTTTGTAAAAGAAATTAYGCAGAATCCGTCAAATCTGTTAATTTTGTAGCCTTGAAGAAACAGAGATCCAACCTTTGAAATTTGAAATGCTAATATTGAAAATGTCCCTGGAAATCCCCTAAAATACTACCATATTTTCTTTCATTAGCGAGATACTCTAAAAGCAACCAAGATTCATCGAGAGATTCCGATTTSATTGATTTTGTTTGCTGACATTGTTTTTACATATTTTTTTTCAATATTTTAGGTCGATTTTCCTTCTAAAATTAGAAAAACGGGAGATTAGCTTTTAGCATCATTCAGATTAATCGTGATAGCATTTTTATCGATCGGGTAGTGCCATTGTGCCGAAAATAAGGGACTTCGTTGTTAATGTCATAAYTGTTCACTCACTGTTGAGTCATCAGTGTGTAAAGCACCACTATGATTGATCTCATGCAGTTTCAGATTGAGACTCTATTTCCCTTGAAAGATGCTCCTATTGTATTACAACATCTGATATGTAACCAGAGCGAACTAATTACAAGGTTCTTGCAATGCTTTTAGAATATAATGACATGTGTGGTGCAAAGGAAAACCCATGTACAATTACTTATAAAAATATATATGTATATATCGAACCCGTATCTGTTATGGATCTAATAGCCTGCTTAAAAGACTAAATCTCTTTTGTTAATGGAATGTAACTATGTTTTTTTGCGGGAACGAATTGAATTTATGTTGATTCCTTTGGAATTCATTGCTCTATACGTTTGGGACAATATCAACATTTCGTTAATGTGTGTGGTGGTCTTGCGACAGCGGTGTTTACGCGCTTAACTTAGAAACACGAGTCAGTATTAGATAAGTTGATCAGTAGGCCCACAATACCCGTAAAAAAAGGCCAATTTAAGCACTTTTGGATTGCKTCGAGTGACATTATGAAGGACCATCTGTTTCTTTTCAATGAAATTCCATTTTGCTGTTGATGTCAAAGTGTAGAGTAACGTGGCCTTTGCAGGTGATCTAGTCAAAATTTAAGTCGAGTAAGTTCCTTAAGAAAAATAAACAAACTGTCGACCGAAACATTTTSTCTTGATTTTCTGACTCAAAACCATCCTTCATGATTCGTCAGTATAGCACTGAATATTTTCCCTTTTTTCACGTTCATTAAAATTCGATGAGGTTTAAGCAAATGTAGTCTAAAAGTACATATCTTTAGCGATTTTCTTGATATTGCATCTGCTGGAGCGTCTGGAACTCCATATACCTGTGTTTAACTGTGAATTGGATTTTAGAATTAGACAGAAAAACACTAGCTTTTCCCTTTGGCGATAACGCAGAAAAATATTACAACCGAAATATGTCTTTACTCTTACCTCAAAAGGAAGTTAATATTCGATGTTCTATAGAGATGACGGTTGTTCAAGTTCAGGCGGCTATTTCATTCCCAGAAAAAGATCTGACCGACGCATTCAGAGCCATCAACTTCCAATAAAAAGTTTMGGTAATTCAAGAATGACATGAGGATAATTCAATAAATCTTTGTCTTGAAATGAATTTCCTTATAATGTTTCACGACAGATTTGTGGTTACCTTACTTAAAATAAATCAGCCACCAAAGAAATAATGACTCAAAACTGGCCTAGTCATTAACCTGTATCTTTTTTCAAGCGCTGTCAGACGCGAAAGAGCATGGGAATGACTCTTCATYAATATTAAAAATATCTAAATATCTACCAAATCAGTGTTAGTATAATTACCAAGGCTTTAGTACCTTTGCCTGCAAATTCTATTGTTAACAAACCCTTCTTTGTCGGCSCACAGAATGATGGCACTCTGAACATATCGTTAATAACAAATGATTCTCAGTGCGTTTTCCTTGGCGATTTGTCGATGAAAAACCTTCGCATTACGTTTTTAATTATCTCGGAAACCGTACAACTTAAATCAAATTACGGTCCCTTTCAATAATCAGGACATTTTGACGTATTATTCTGATTTTGTGAGCTGTRGGTAGGCTTCTAGTTGACCCTGGTTGGTTTTCGAAGGTCACTGGTTTATTTTACGGTAAGTTTTCTTGCTTTACATGTTSTAGAACTATACAGGTTGCTGTAATTGCTAATTTTGTGTCACAATGTGGTCCGTTTGTACATATTATACTCGGTGAGTCTATTTCTTGTTATCGCTAACTTCCTTTGCGAAAAATAAACTCGCTTTTAGAAATGCTATAATCTGCTTAAATACTGTTTTCTGACTGTTATCCTATAGAAAACTGCAACTAAATCATTTTTTGTGGGTATTGTAGTAATTTTTTTTTCAGTAAGGTTTGGTTTTTCCAGTTTCTTTGTGTCAGTTAAGGTCAATTATTTAGCATTTTAATTCATCRATCGTCTGATTTCCGTAAAAGATTGAAAGCAATTCACCCTTGTTATTTACATTCTAAACCTAAATATCAATTCGATAGCAAAAAAACTACAATTTATATATATATAGAAATCTTATTTGCATTTTACCGAATGTAATCGTTTTGACCATGTCTTTAAAAAAAATAACAAGCTTTTATGTTTTAAAGTGTAACTTTACTCGAAAACTTAAAAACGCCGATCGTAGAGAACTGTAAAGCTCAAGAAACAATTAACTATCCAGGTGATATGATAAGAATCACTTAGACATGATTTACGATATTCTTAGTATCAATTCTTCTAGAATATTAAACAAAAATTACTCAAAAATACCAAATAAGATGTTGATGGTGCTAAGATTGAAGATGTTCCGGTTAATCTGTTGAGTGCGTTCCCATAGAAACCAGACGGAGTAAGCAAAAATAGCACGCATCTTTCTTTTCCTTGAAAAGAACGTTGCACAATAAGACAATAATCACCAGCGGGACTAATTTTGTCACTTAGCGGCCGATAATCCATGAATACCTTTATTTCTACTGTTGTGGTTCTAATCAGGAATTAATGTTGCGATTTTACCTCGCGGATAATCGTTCTTTTGTGGAATATATTTTTTTGTCAGGTTTAGTCGATGATGTTTGTGTTTCTTGTTAGTGGTACTCTATTTTCTTAATAACATCTGATTGCTGGCTTCCTTTAGCGCTTCATTTCTAGTTCTCTAGCTCTGACTGATGAAAAAAGTAGTAGTTTTCGTTCTGTCTGTCAAGTTATTCAAACAACTATGGTTCCATTGGTCGATATTTGGTGAATTCTCATCAAGGCACTTATCCATATAAACAGATCTGTCAAAGTAGAGCGAGGCAAAGCTTGCCTAGTTGTTAAACCAATGACATTGATATCGTTCTGTATTTTGCCTGTATTTTATAAACAATTTGTCAATATGACAGTTATCTTAAAGTAATCCCATGTCATGTTTAGTACTGCGACTTTTCAAAGCAAACATCCTTCTGATCTGTCAAACGTCCCATAAAATACTGCCATATGATGTACTGAAATTTGTTAACCAGTGCTCTTTTATACAGAGAAAGGTCATGTTTTTTTTTTTTGTATTTATGAATGCGTTATCAGTTGTTTCCATAAGCTGGTAATTCTTTTCCTAGAAATATTCCTTAGGTGTCGGGTTAATCAACTCCTTACAACCAAACTCTATGTTCTAATTACCTTTATATTATAATCCCAAATCAAAATTATTGATTTCGAATTTGTTTTTGATTAAGGTATAATATTTTGACATCTTTTTCACATTGTGAAAATCCGCGCGGGACACTTCAGTGAAAATTGAAGGAAAAAAAGGTTAATAATGTTGTAGAATCTAGTAAAATCTAATGTGATTATGATATTTGGGTAATAAAAGATTTTGATTCGACAGGAAGAACGTTGGATTAGTGGTAATTAAGAGTAAACGAGCTTCGTATCTTAGTCTCCGACCAGGCTGTTTTGGCTTATGTTCATGGTCAATTTACGTGGCGGTTTTCTAAAAGAAACTTGTAGGATTTCAGTACATTAACAAACAATGGGGGTCTTTCTGATTTGGGAATGGTGATGACAGCAATGCCAGAGTAGATTTTCAGTAGAGGCCTTTTCAGGTATGGTCTTAATCATTGGTGTGCCGTAAACATTACTTTGTAGAAACGAAAATGGAAAACGAAAAGAAAAGYGAAAAATGAAAGGTTTATCCCTATTGCATTTCAGCTTTTCAGTCTCACTTCAAGATTCGCGCCGRACGGCAAACGAACTGTCACAAGGAATCAATCTCCAACTATATATCATTTATCATAATAAGGTGATATTGTTCTAAACCTTGAAGCAAAAAAATCTGATTGTATTATATAATTTTTTGACAAACCATCGRCGAGGATGAAGGAATATCACGTAACCAAAGCGAAATATATTCTTGTATTGCAACAAGATTTGAATACAACGAATTGTGGACAAAACTGAAGAAATTMTAATGAACAAGACTAGTTTTTGACTATTTTGAGGCCAAAATATTGCACTAAAATAATAAWAATGAAATAAAAACCATTTGATCCTTTGAGAAAAACTACAAAGCTATCGCTTCCATGTTGGATTTGAGCCGTACTCTTTGTTGTTTATGATCCAATATGGCGGCTATGACGTCATGTACTCTCTACTCAGTGAATGCTTGGTCGTGTATGAGAATTATACATTCTCCCCAATTTTAGATTGGTTTACATAAGCTAATGCTTTCGATAGGAAAGAAAGACGTTAGTGATTAGAACCTAAATCCTTTTGATAATTTTAATATTGCTTGCTTCAATGATGAAAAAAACTATAGCTTTTGCTGGCSAATCCTGCTCTAGCCACCCATCCGTCCTTCTATTTTTCACGACAGCAAAAACAACCCCTCTCTTTTACGTTGATTCTTGGTTTTGCAGTCACATTACATCACACATTCTATGAAAAATACAGAACAAGACTGATATAGCAGCCATATTGCTTTAGACAACAATAGAAGTTCTTCACCGGCGAAAGATCTTTTGCATGACATCTGTGACGTCATGCCCAAAACAAAGAATTGTGACGTTTCGGGTGTTTGTGGACACTAAGTCTACAGTTTGTTTRATTGGCGAATCTTACATGTGTCCAATTTATTAACACCAATTTTTGTTTCTGCATTGACTTCGGTACACGTGAGGTTCAACGTTTGAGGGAGCCTGAGACAAATGAACTYCGTAGACTAAATAACGATATTCACTCTYTAGAAGCWAWTGAGTCGTTTTAATCRCTTCAAAGAAGTCTTTTTGTGACCCCAAACCTACACCTTTCAAAGGTTCATCTTGACTCGTCTATTCTGGCGACTCTCCGATTAAAACGGTTTATTTRATTTTATGACTGACCAAAATAATAACAATTTGTGCTCTTTTATTCAGGAAGRGTCTAGAAACTGACCATGGGGAAGGAATCAAAGAGAATTTGCTGTTTTCGAAGGTAAGTTTTCKGGTAAAATTATCCACTTTATKCACGATTTTAGGACTGGGGCGAGTCTGGATGCAAATAAGTAGGTCCGCCCKCAGMTAATATTAGGTATCCTAAGTTATGATTTTCTGTCGTTATAATGCGAGACCAATTTTAAACGATTATCGTTTAGCGTTTCGAATGCATATGGACTTGAAATAACAGATAATGAGACGGTCTTCTTTGATGCGATCCAATTAAAAAGTCGAAAGGTGCGTCCGTTCTCTCTCCAAAACTCTTTTCGAAGTAAGTGTATTCAAATATGCAAATTGACAGTTACTATTTGTAATCTTTATTAAATCAAAGAGAACATTATCATTTACGTTCTA